AGATCCAAATTTTACTCTACTGTCATTTACTTCAGCTTGAAATATCTTATTTATCATTTCTCAAAGTACAGATCTGCTCAAGATTAATTTTTAACTTTAGTTATTTAAAAATGTATTTATATCTCACTCTCATTTTCAAGAATTTTTTTTTGTTGTTGAATTCTTGTTTGGCATCATTTTTCTTTCAGTACTTTAAGCTTCCTGTTCCATTGTATTTTGGTCTCCATTATTTCTGATTAAAAGTCACCTGTTATTTGTATCATTGTCCCTGTGTGTAACATATTGTTTTCTTTTATCTGCCTTTAATATTTTCTCTCTGTCTTGAGTTTTCAAAAGTTTGCTTATGCTGTTTCTAGATGTGGTTCTCTTTGTATTTATTTTAGTTGGGGCTAACTAGATTTTACTTTTTTAAAAACAAATTTGGAAAACTTCTACTGATTACTTTTATGCCCTTTTCTTTCTTTCTTTTCCCTTTGGGACAGTTACATGTATGCTAGATTGCTTGTTACTGTCTCTGAGGATAGGTCACTGAAGCATTGGTTAATTTTTTAAAATATCTTTTTTTCCTCTGTGTTCATATGGGGTAATTTCTACTGATTTGTCTTCATGTTCACTAATCCTTTCTTTAGTACTAAGTCTTCAATCTGATGTCAAGGTCCATCAGTACATTTTTATTTTAGATATTTCATTAATCCATGCTGAAATCTCCATTTGTTTTTTTTTTATAGTTTCTATTTTTCTGTTGAGATTCTCATTTCTTCACTTATTATGATCATCTTTGCCTGAAGATCCTTGGATCTATTTTTTGTAGCTTCTTTAAAATCTTTTTCTACCAATTCTAACATCTGGGTCTTCTTGGGGTCTGATTGTATGGACTATTTATTTTCTTAAATATGAGTCTCATCTCCCTATTTCTTTGAATGTACAGAAATTTTTATTTTATGCTAGACATTTTGGATGAAGCTTTGTAAGGAATTGGGATTATGACATCATCCCTGCAAAGTTGTTGAATATTTTTCCTATCAGGCAATTAAATGAAAAATACTCTTGTTCTTGTCATGCATGGTTTTAGTCTCTATTAAGGCAGGTCTGTTTTGCCTTTGAGTTTAATCCTAAGGAGTGATCCATTCTGGAGGTCATGGTACTAACTCTTAAACCATGGGTCTTTCTGGGGTTTGAGCTGAATGCTTTAGGTACTCAGTGAGGTCTCTTCACACTGGTATTTCAGTATCTCCCATCACTGCAGGTCCTCTGGTATTTTCACTTAGCACTTAGTCCCACAGCAGGCAGTCTCTGCTACCTGACGTCTCACTTCTTATATTGGCCAAGAACCTGCAGCAAACCCTCATGCAGTCTTCTAACCCCAACCTACTCACAAAGCTATTTCTCCTTTGGTCACCTGCCCTGTAAATTACAGCTTTTTTGGCAGCATCATATTCTAATCTCTGCTTCCTCAGCCCATTGAGATTTCAGCTTAACATTTAACGTGATCTCCAACTCCCTGAGTAAGGGCAGGAAAAGAACCCCAGCAAAAAGCTAAGAAAATTGTGGGGCTCACCATGTATACTGTCCTTCTCTCAAGGATCAAAGTCCTGCTATGACCATTTTCCAGTGCCTAAACAGTGTTGTCTCATATATTTTGTCCAGTTTTATACTTACTTATAGCAGGAAGGCAGGCCCAGTACCAGTAACTCTATCATGGGTGGAGTAAAGAATCTATGGGTTTATGTTTAATTTTCACAAAACCTTGTGATATAGTATTTGTGAAATAGGTAGTATTATTATAACACAATTTTATAGAGAATTAAACTCAGGCTAACTGGTGAGTGGGGGAGTCAGAATGAAAACCTGAGCGGTCAGATTCAGACTCCATGCTCTGATTTAACATACAATGCTGCCTCTGCAACTTGAAATTATGTTATTACCTTCGTTGCATTTACCACACACTCTTTTTTCTCATATTAGTATTTGTTTTTTAAACTTTGCTACCTCTTCTAATATGCATAAACACCACATATTTCCTGTTTACAACTACCACCCCCACTGCCTAGCACAAGCTCTTGGTGAGCATTCAAAAATATTTGTTGAATGAATGAGTGAATGTAGATGACACCATTACAATTTTGAAAAGAGGCTCATTTCCACATATTTGCTATTTTAGACTTCATCTTGCCTGCCACCTTGTGGCATCAAAATTCTGCAGCAAAAACAAGCAAACAACAGCAATATAAAGGTGGGAAATATGCAAAAAAGTTGATATGCATCATTAGAATCTTTACAGTTATACAAATAAACATATAATTATATGATAGGAAAAGAGTTATAGTAGGATTTCTATTCTTGATAAGATAGCAGTAATTAGAAATCAGTCTTAGGAATGTTCAAGACACCTCTGATAAACAGTGATACTAGTTTGATGAAGTGAGCACAGAGTTGATATGTTTGACTGATGAGTCTAGGCATCACTTGTGGTTGAAGTAAAAAAAAAAAAAATGATATCCATATTTGCCACTTCGGATATGTTATTTAAAAAAAGAAAAACTTGTTAACAGTTGTTTCTAAAGCCTTTGTATTACTTATTATCATATTTTAAATGTCAACACTTGCCTAATTAATTTCAAAATGTATCTTTGTTGAACCTAAAACCATAAAGTTATGGTTCTTGTAGTCTTCTACATGACAGAACAACATGCAGTTACTTTTTATCAGAAGCAAAACTATGTGATGGTTTTCAAGCTAATTTTTGTGTTAACAGATCTCCTAAAGATATGCAGTAGACCTCACATTTACATAAAATTAAAGAAAGGATGCTTCAGCAAATGCAAATAAATGCAAAAAGGGAATATTTTAATTTTGATCCATGATTAGTATCAACCATCACAATGTGGTGATAATACAAAAGCAAGATTCTGCATTCAGTGTATAACTGAATGTATAATGGTGTATAATGGTTGTAGGCTATTTATAGACTGAGTATCCTGATTAATTTATTTATTTTGAGAAATATATTTATGTTTCAGGCTCTACTTTAAAATCTGAGATCTTTAAAAACATTTAAATATTAGAATTGTAGGCACTGTCTTCTGCAATATGACATTTTGCTGGGTAGCAAAATGATTTATTTCAGTTGGTGCATTATTAATTGTATGAATTGACTGTTTAACCTCTATTGATTTCCCTTTCTTAATGTTCAACTTAGAAAAAGAAGCAAAAGTTATTTTACAATAGAATAAAAAGGATACAAAAGTTAATCCTGGCATAATGGGGAAGATTAGTTTACTATTCATCATTATATATCCTCCCTTCAGTAATTTTCAAGGTCTTGAAAGAGCATGCTTAGTTTTAAAATAAAAGTTTCTAAGCCTAAATAGTGAATCTATTGAAACTAATCCTTGCATCCTTGTTTCTTATAGTACAATTTTGATTAATGTTCATTACTTGTTTTTATAACACTGAATTAAATATTGACATGACCATACCATTTTGAATCCTTTTATTATTAAAAATGATTTGAAAATCCATCAAACCATTCTAATATCCAGGAGATAGTTTCCTTAATATGCAGGCCATTTTGATGGCACTTCTTATGTGTAGTGAAAACTGTGGAGAAGGTGATAAATAATTACTTTCAAGTGCATCTCAATTCAGTGTTGTTTATGTATGCCTATAGATTTTCTGGGCTATTCCCAATTTTAAATATTTTCTTCCATTGAGCTCACAAGTCACCCAAGTGGCTTTTTCCTTTCAAATGGAAATGGAATGAAATTCTTTGACATAACCATATGTCCTGATATTGGGTTTGAAAATGATGTTTGCATAAGGTGTTTCCAGAAACTATAGAGTCTAATTTTCTTTGGTGTCAAAGAGAATCAGTGTTTAGGTTCTGCAGTTTACTTAAAGCAAGAAAATTTCTTTCAAGCAGGTTATCTTATGAATTTAAAAGTGGTTTTGTTGTCCTTGATGTCAAGCTTAAGCCTACAAGCTTGAGGTCTCCTTAGAGCCATGAAGAATCTTTGGCGGAACTCTTACATCATTGTGGATGTAGAGTTGTAAATGATTTTTAGCGTGTTGGCAGATCTCCTGCTGACATAATGAGTATTAATATAATTGATAATTGTGTTTCCTCGTGGTTATTAACAGGGCAGGCATTATGTTTTCATGTTGATATTAGTTTTATTATTTGTATCCAAAAGAAGTCCAGGATGTGTGAGATCAGAAAATGAACAAGACTAAATATTTAGGTCAATCACTCTAAGCCAGGCAGAGAGGGGTAGAGGCTTCATAATTCTAAGAAAAGAGTTATTTGAAAGACATAACATAATCACTTTATCTTTGCCATAGATTAAACTGAATATTACCCATGATAAGAGCAAGGCCTTTAGGAAACAGGACATTTTTATAGAAAAAAAAGATAGGGCTGGGTAATCCTGAGGATTCTAGGAAGCCGCAAGCTAAAACAGAGTTCTGAAGAGGGATAGAAACATACAAAAGAAATCTTTAAGGACATAGATTAAAAAGTGTTTTACACCTTTGGACAGCTGTCACACTCACCCTTGCATAGCATCCTTCGAATCAGCTATGCTATCTCCAAATAAGCGATAAGCTTTCGAGTCTTTGCTCATGTTTCACAGTTGGAATTTCCTTCTACCATTCTCTGTATTTTGGGCAATTTTGGAAATTCTTCTGATCTTTCTCGTTCCTTACTTAACCTTATTCGTACCCTCCTTTCTTCCTGCCCTAATTTGCTACTACAGTTATCTGCCTTTTTATTTTGTCTGGCTTTATGGATAATTATTTATGGCTCTCTTTCTTCCATTAGGTTTTGAGATGCCCTTTGTGATCTCTATGATTGCCTAGTTTAACATAAATCGAGTAGTAAAGAAATGTTTTTTGTTTTGTCTTTAAATTTAAATGGAATCTAAGTTAATCATACAAGCTCACATAATACCCTCTGCTTGCATGGATAGTACTTACTTGTAGTTATTAATACTTCATTTTACCTGTGCGCATGATTCAGGGCAAGGTCAGGTTTCCTCATCCGTAGATAGCATGTAACAAGCTTTGTCTCAATGAAACTCGCCACACTTGCTACATCTTCAGCAGATGCTTCAAATGGTTTTCCCAGAGCTGCCCCTTTGCTGCAAAGCTTTAAAAAAATACAGTGCTTCAAATTTTCTAATAATCTTGACATATAATTGATCTTTTAAACAAGCAAAACATATATATGTACATGTACTTTTTCCAAACTACAAGTCAAATATTAACATTTTGATTGTAAATTAAATAAATTGTTCCTGTTCACTATTAAGTGACTATAATATAAGTAACATATTTTACTGTAAAATATTTTTAAAGTATGATATATTTTAAAGGGGTGCCATTAGCTAAGAATGTCTGTTTTAAAAATAAAGCACACAATAAGCAAAGATATTAGCAGAAAACCAGATATAAATCATATTAAATACCAATGCTTTTATGAAAACCCAGCTGAGCAATGATCTAGCACACTATCAAGTTGATTTAATATAATAAGGGGTATCGGAAGTAAACTCCTAGGAGCCATTAACATGATCGGTGATTAATTTGAGTCTGAATCATATTCTCTAGGATGTTATTGAAAGAAAAGAAGTGAAAATTTATTAGAATTTATTGGCGGAGGGCACAGTATCTGAAAAACATGGCAGGAATGTGGAATTCTTAATAAAAATTCCAGGAAGTCAGTGGTTTCTGGGCACCACAGATAAACTGTAGAAGAAGAAAATAATTAATTTTGGGAGGAGAAGCCCAAACATTAAGAAGTGTCAATAATATGACAAGGATAGATCGGCACTTTTTTTTTTTTCCCTCAGAGTTTTCTACTGTGTCTTAGAATCAAGGCTGATGGGGGAGGAGAAACTCCACCTCTGTTTAGTGACCTTATTCCGAATATCTGCTTCTTTGCTCTTTTCTATATCCTCTATGCTTTTCTTACCAGGGATAGTAATATTTGGAGTTAATATCTATTTATATATACCTTAGTGTAAAATTTCTTGTATTCTAAATCCTTTTCATTTAAATGATATTATTTAAACTAATTTTTCTGTTTTTAAATTTTTTTGGCTGCGGTGGGTCTTTGTTGCTGCGCACGGGCTTTCTCTGGTTGTGGCGCCTGGGCTGCTCATTGTGGTGGCTTCTCTTGTTGCAGAGCACGGGCTCTAGGCGCGCGGGCTTCAGTAGTTGCAGTACGCGAGCTCAGTCAGCTGTTGTGGCTCGCGGGCTCTAGAGCGCAGGCTCAGTAGCTGTTGCACATGGGCTTGGTAGCTCCGCGGCATGTGGGATCTTACCTGACCAGGGCTCGAACCTGTGTCCCCTGTATTGGCAGGTGGATTCTTAACCACTATGCCACCAGGGAAGTCCCCTAATCTTTCTTTTATAGAGTAAGTTGAGGTTGCCTTGCAACCTCATTTACATTAACATTGTTGTCAGTTATTTTTTAAAGTGCAAATGGGTTGAGAATGACTATATTCTGTTCGAAAATGTATTTCTCTTCTTAATTTTATCCAACAACTATGAGCTGAAGGTGAATCTAGATGTTAAACATCCCTAGTTTGAATTGGTAGTTACCTGGTGCTACTATCTTTTGCCTGGATATCCTGTCAAGTCTGAGAATTCATATCATTTTTAAAAGTCTTTTCCAATTTGATGGGAGAAATTTGTTACTATAATACATACATTCAGTCAATATATAGTTTTGAGTAATTACTAGTAATTGTCAGACAAAAATTACTGCCCTTACATTTTAATTTGCATTAGATAGGTCTTTTAAATAAATGTTGGCTATTTTTAATTCCATGTAAATTCCTGTTTTCTATTCCTTGCCTATTTCCATAATCTTTTTCTTACTAATTATAAGAGCTCTTTAGATATGTAATCTATTATTCCTTTTCCTGAACAACTATACGCACACAATCAAATGTAAAATTTTTCCCCTCAAATTATCCTTTAGAAAAGAGTCAAATTCTATTCATGTTCTTATAAGGGTCCTCAGAGTACAGTTCTCAATTATTTGGAGGGAAAAAAAGCAAAGACTCTTGTGGAAGATACAAAGTAAATGACCTCAGTCAATGTTGTCTGGTTGCTTTATAAAGATTACCTGATAAAATTGATAATAAAAGAGACAAAGCATTTAACACTGATTTAGTAACTATTCCTGAGAGTCTGACCTCACGAATGTCAATATAGTTGGAACAAAATATCACTTAAGAGAAAGTGTTATAGTTTGAACATGACAGCTTGAAACCACACCTCTCCTCTGATCCTGTAGGGCCAACCTGATCTTGCAGGACCCAGAGATACCTAAAGCAACAGTTTTTCAGGGGGAAGATAAAAAGGTTTTTGGATGACATAGCTCTTTATAAAGCCCAAATCAGTAGAAAACAAACTGAGTAGAAAGTACGTAGTTTTATTTGCCAGCATATCATCATATTAAAATTCTAGAACCTCTTGATTAATTTTATCCTCTAAATTAAATCAGCATTTTTTTCAAGTCTTAAATGCTCACATCTCATGGATTTTTCACATAAAATCTTAAAGAAACAAAAGAGAAACAAACAAGACCCACAGTGTATGTGTTCTTTGCCCCTTCCTCTGCTGTGTCCCTCTCTGTTGCGGTGGAGCAGGCATGTTTCCTTTCTCAGGCACACTTTTTGTGGAATGAATATGTGGGCCATTCAGGGAGTAGCATCTACAAGGACACTCAGATCCTACATGGTAAGAGGAAGCTGACCTTCAGATTTAATAATATTAAAGACTTCGCCTGTGAACATTGAGATAAAGTGAAGAATAAATGCCTGATCTAATGTCTTCAATATTCTCTACTTCTGTGAGATTCAAGGCCAGAAAAGGAATAAAACGATCAATCTTAACACACTAAAGAGTATACTTTATGAAGCCAAACTATAAGACAGCAAGGAGAGACAGGGATAATTTTTCAGTTCACATTAAAATGGGAGAACAGGCAGCCTGCTGGGTAGGCTTATGTATATTTGTGGTGATCTTGGTTTATCAGTCAAGTACTCTAAGATAGAGCACTTTCTGATTTTATCAAAGATTGCTTTATTTATTTGCCAAAGTGGGGCATCTTTGAAATAAGCTTTGCAAATTGTTATAAATATGTTGAAGTTAAAGGTAGAATTATAGTAAATATAGACAAAGTACTGGTGTCAGGATTATAAAGAACATTACAGATATTTTGCTGAATTTTAAAATTTTCATGCAGACATTTGTAGAGACTGAGAAGTTAATTCTCTAGAAGATGAAGAACTTTAATGTGAGATGTATTTGTTTGAATGTAGGAAGGGTGACTTAGTTCAAATTATATTTGTCTAAAGCTATACACTTTACCTTTTTGGTGAAATAACTCATGGAGATAAGGCAATAAAAACTTTTAAACTACCTGATATAGTATATCAGTGAGAAGACTGAATTAGGAAACAAAAATTATGTGTTAGTTTTTTGTTTTGAAAAGAAGCCTAAAATATTTTTGAAAGACGCATGGACAAGTTAAAAGCATATTATTTAAGGGAAAATGCAGTGAAGACTCTTATGTGTATTGTTGTTGTTTTCATGAGAAGGTAGATTAAAATGAAATTTCAGTAGTAAATTAGAATCACAGCTCAAATTTTAATTAAAAAATACATATTTTACAAAATATATTTGATAGTTTTCTGAAAACAGGATGGCAATACTTCAGAGTTATAAAACCTTTTTCTAAGGTAACTCAAAGTTCTTTTAAGAAATAAATATCAAACCTATTTTCAGAAATTGTGGCAAAAAGGAATTTCAAGTTCTGTTTAAAAACACAGATAAAAATAATATAAAGCCCAATAATAGCAGAAATAACCAAGATTAAATATTATATTATGGTCCCATTCTTAAAAATACAGCCACACATTTTTCTTTAATTAGTATCATCATTAATAAGATTGATATTGCTAATAGATTCTCCCTTATTAGAATACTGTATGGTGAGTGTTTGCCCACCATACTCCTGGGACATAATTTTGAGTGATCCCTGAAGGTCTAGGAGAGAACATTAAATCTTGAAAAATGTGGCATTATTTGAGTTATCAATTAGTTACAAATAAGAGTATATATCATTCATCCAATCAGAAATTTTTAAGGTTTTTATATTGCTTTGGAAATTACAAAAAAATCTAAAGATGGAGAGTAAGTTACCCATAACCCTATCACCATGTATAATTGCCATTAATTTTTTACATATTCCTAACATCCTTTTCATGTTTTTATAATAAATTATGTATCGTATATAATCTTTGCATTTCTTTTTCATATGCCGTGCTTCCTTTTATGTTTTCAATTAAAATCTAAAACGTATTAAGATATACTCATGTTATAATTATAGTTGGATATTTCAATATCCCACTCTCAGCAAATGATAGAAATACTACAAAGAAAATCAGCAAAGATCATAAAGATCTGAGCAACACAGTCAACCAATGGTAATTGACATATATGTAAAACACTCCACCTAACAACAGCAGAATACATATTTTTCTCAAGCACCCATGGCAAAGTCACCGATATAGAGCATATCATGGGCAATAAAGTAAACGTCAACAAATTGAAAAATACTGAAATCATTCAGAGTATATTCGCTACCATAATGGAATCAAAACTCAACAGTTAAGGAAAAAAAAGACTCCAATTTGAAAGTGGGCAAAGACATGAACAGATTTTTCACTGAAGAGGACATGCAGATGGCAAATAAGCTCATAATAAGATGTTCGACATGTTTATTGTTTGACATCATTAGTCATCAGAGAAATGTAAATTAAAACTACAATGAGGTATCACCACATACCTATTAGAATGGTTAAAATACAAAATAGTGACAACACCAAAATCTGAGAATGGTGAGGAGTTGGATCACTCCCACATTGCTGACAGGAATGTAAAATGGTACAGCCAGTGGAGAAAACAATATGGCGGGTGCTTAAAAAACTAAACATGCAACTACTGTACAACTCAACGTTAGGCACTTATCCCAGAGAAATGAAGACTTATGTTCACACAGAAATCCATATTTGAATGTTTATAGCAAGTTAATTCATAATAGCCCCAAATTGGAAGCAATCTAGATGTCCT